TTCGCGTCGCGATAGGATGCAAGATCTTGAGCGTCAATTTGTATTGCCGAGTGCAAATTTGTATGAAATGTGTGAGTCAGTTGCGGCTGTAACAGCAACCCAATCCCGTTCAGTTGGTGCCGTGGAGTAATAACGGTGTCATTTTCTAAACAGACAAAAAATCTTTAATTGGAATTTTCTTCCATTTCCTGCTTAAAATTTAAAATTTTTCATGTATTCATCCATTGATCAACGTAAAATGATGTAAAGGTTGCTCAATATAACAAACCTTATACATAAGATTCAATGCTAACATGTGCGATTATATTGATCTATAACAATATTGATATGAGTGTTACTGATGCCTTGTTTGGAATCGAGAGCTAACTGTATTTTTACTGCATTATTACATCATTAGCATAAGCTTAGGGATAATATACGTCTTTTACAACTATTGGTAATGATCGACGTAAGCGCAATCGACTGGAAAGCTCAATATTAACTCTTATGTCGCGGCATCTTTACAGGAGGACCGACTGAAACCAAGGAATTGTAAACCCATCTCCTCTATATGTATATCGTCTTATTTTCAGATAATTCCTATTTCTTACATCGGATTTGTTCTTCACATAGCAGAATTATGTGGATGAACGAACGCAAAATGGAACTTTCAATGCGGTAGTCTTACTTCCAGATAATTCTTATTTTTTACTTCGGATTTGTTCTTCACATAGCAGAATTATATGTGGATGAACAAACGCAAAATGGAATTTCCAATGCGTGCATTTGCCCAATATTTACTCGAGGTTTTTTCAACATAAGAAAAGCGACCGCGTGCTCACTGAGGCACATCAAGCCTCCCTTGTTCTCCTCTGCAGCGCAAACCGTCCCGTTGATGTAAAGAATTTGGCCCGAGTGAACACATTAGAACAGAACAGAATTGCAGTCGCGTACACGCTCATTCTAACGGCATTGTTCTCTAATGAGCGTAGCTTCTATTAACATTGTACAGATACTAGTAAAACTTGTACATCTGAGTACAGATACTAGTAAAACTTGTACTTCTGTGTACAGATACTAGTAAAACGTGTACTTCTGTGTACAGATGATGGTAAAACGTGTACTTCTGTGTACAGATACTAGTAGAACTTGTACTTCTGTGTATAGATACTAGTAAAACTTGTACTTCTGCGTACAGATACTAGTAGAACTTTTAGTTCTATATACAGATACTAGTAAAACTTATACTTCTGTGTACATATACTAGTGAAACTTGCACTTCTGTGTACAGATACTGGTAAAACTTGTACTTCTGTGTACATATACTAGTGAAACTTGCACTTCTGTGTACAGATACTGGAAAAACTTATACTTCTGAGCCAGCAGCAAAACGTGTGGGAAATGATGAATATATAAGCTATTCTATTCGAATAATATATTCGTAATTGATTTCATTATACTTCAATATGTCGTTTTTAAAGTTTGCACAAAATTAAAGAAAAGTTTAAACAGTTCATTGAAGTCCAGAGCATTTAAATGTATCGTTCAAGATGCTGATAGCGTCTTCCTCGTAAAATATCTCACGAATAAAAGCTGTCAATCATCGTTGCTATTATATATAAGCCAATGCTGAAGATGATGTAAAGTAACAGTGAACTTTATCATGGGGAAATACCTGGTCAATAATCTAAACAAATCTCTTCGAAAGTCTATGAAATTTAAAAATTTTTGAGTTGTCCAGCATGAAATTCATTCTAAGCTGCAGAAGGGGAAAGATTTTACATAGAAACTTTTTAATATGCAAAATGTAGTTTCATGAACTCATTACATTTTAATGAAAATTAGGTCGTCCTAAATTCATTGTTCAGTACAAAATTTAGCACCTTTGTTGAATATCATTCAGATTCAAACTTCCATTCAAACATATGTAAATAATAAAATTTTATTGGATAGCATTGATGCGACCGTTTTAAGGATTTTAAGGTATGGGTCAATACGATTTTTTAAATTAAACAAGGTTAATTATTCCAAGTCTCTAATTTACTTCGCAATACTTTATTCATCCTTCATACCTAGTTAGTATATATGCTATCTTATATGTAACATCAAATTTAAACGTTAATCTATCATATTCATCAAACTGAAACATTAAAAATAACAAATACTTTCAAATTCTTATTCTTGTAAACTTACTAACTCCAAACTGGTTATTTTGTTTGCATTTATCAACAATATGAAAATATTTCTGTTAATAAAAACGCATTGAGATTCCTATATCAAGACGGAAGCTGAAGGGCCAGCGCGCCCCGTTACCCCTCTAGGGGGGCTAAACAGCACAACACAAGAGGGCTAAACAGCACGCAGGCACGTCCGAGAAATGGTGTCATGTTCATTATATAAGACACCATAACCTAGGAAATATAAGCTATGAACGGCGTCTAAAAATATGCTTACACTCGAGCAATGTAATCATTAACATGCCAATTAAATAGAAGACTGAATATAACTAAGCAGTTTCGAAATGTTCCTCGAAGACTGAAAAAGTAAAATATTAAAATTTAGCTGCATAGCAAATTATGTTTTAATATTTTATAATGAAACCCAGCAGCAATAATTAAACAGTGTTTTCCGTCATCTTTTCCCTGTCTCGTGAACAACAGGTCTAGTGAACTATGATCCTGGGATATGTTAAAGTTGAGTTTTACCTTCCGAAATTCTTTCATAAAAACTCCTAATTCTGTTTATACACGGCAACTACACCACTTGTTCTCCCTCCCAAGGGGACTATGAGCGCGTTGAATTCGAAACATCATTTGAGGCGAGCTCGAAATTAGTAAATACGAGTAGGGCAAAGCCCGCTACCCAGTGAAAATTTAGAGACGCGTCAGCTTCTGATTTAGAGTGCCAGAAGCTGGGGCGACTCTAAATTTTGTTAGGGATATACATCATACGACGACGGCACAAACATGAGGGGTGAGCGCCTTGTTTGCATATGCATGCCCTCCTGGCCCGAGGGAAGGTTCCTGCATCCAATGCCCCTGGGAATTATTTATGTAGTAACTTCTCCCTTGCAACAGCCGGCCTCACTATGGGGCCCAGAATAACTGATCTCCAGTGACGACTCCTTCCGGCATTGCAGTGGGCCATTTGTTGCCCAGTGCAGTGCAGTGCTGTGCAGTGGGCCTTCCGGCATTTGCAGTGGGTCAGCACAGCTGCTGGCCATTTTCGGGCCTGCTGCGTAGCCAATTTAGGGCCCTGCAGTATGCCATTCTAGGGCACCGCTGCTGGCCATTTTAGGGCCCAGTAACTAGCCATTGTAGGGCACTGCTGCTGTCCATTTTAGGGCCCAGTTACTAGCCCTTCAAGGACTACTACACACAGGACATGCATAGCCTATGTCCAGCCTCTGCTAGCAGAGGCGATCGCCTACAGTATGAAAATGCTGGTGTTTTAGTGGCATCAACAAATGATATGCCCTTAATTGTTTTATACAATAGTATTACAATGTGTGTAGTAGTCCTTGGTCAGAACCATAGACTTTTTGCCAGTTTTGAAGTTCAAAATTTTGTACTAAGCAAAGTAGGTACCATTTTCCTGCCTTCATACACTGATAAAAAAAATATTTAAATGGAGT